TTTTTTTACAGCAAAGAAGCAGAATATCCTGTCACAGAACTTAACTTTTATAGAAATATAAAAGAGGTGGATAATGTTTATCCTTTATTTTTCTATGGAAGCATTTGGGTTGTTTTCTAAAAGTGCTATTACAGCTGGATGTGAAGCTGTTTAAAAAGGGCTGAGTTCTTCCATCCCGTGGGAGGAAGACACAAAAGCATTTATTTTTATAGCCAGATTGGCTTTAATTTTACAGCATTTAACCCCCAAATGGTGACCTGGATTCTCACCTGGGTGTCAGGTACTTGGTGGCCCCTTCTTGGGATGGGGAGGAGAAGGAATTTTGGGGAGCACCCCGAAATCCCTGGTCACTTTGTGGGGGGTGGGGGGTGGAAAAAGGGGAAAACTCCTTTCCATTTTTTTACAAGGAGACTCTTTAAGATGTAGATTTTTTAAAAGTACTTATTTTGCAGACTCTCTTATTTTTAAAGGTACATTTTTATGGCGTGTGACAGCTGAGCAACCTTCATCCTCCCTTAATTTATTCCCAGTTTTCTCCCCTAAAGCCCTGATCTTGCTGCCAGGAGCGACCTGGGCTCTGAGAGGGTCCATGGAGCTGCTCTGCTCCCAGGAAAAGGGGGCACCTGGAGCTCCTGTTTACAGTTTGGCCCCTGAGTCGCAGGGGTCACATCCTGGCAGCTCCCAAACCAGCAGCAGAAACCTTGGGAAAGCCTTAGGGAAGAACCAAAGCCACCTCCCAGCTTGTGTTTGACAAGGAGCTCTGTTGAGGAGGGGGAAAAATCCACCCTGGGGGGAGGAAAATCCACCCTGGAGGGAGGAAAATCCACCCTGGGGAGGCAAAAAATCCACCCTGGGGGGAGGAAAATCCACCCTGTGGAAGCAAAAATCCAACCCTGGGGAGGTTCCTTGTGCCCTGGGTTTGGTTTTCCTGCTGTGGGAATGCTGAGCTTTGGGGCAGGGTTGCAGCCTCCCTCCTGGGAAGGGCTCTCCCAACCCCAAATCTCCTCCCTTTTAGCCCCTTGGGTGATCCAGGAGGGATTTGAGGAGCCTGGATGTGCAACCAGAAGTTCCAGGGCACCAGCTGGTCCATCTCCCCCCTCCCTGGGCTTTGCCCTGCTCTGCACCCTGGGATGTGGCTTTGGGAGCAACTTTAGGGCTGGGATGTGTCCCTGGAATGTCCCACCAGCCAGTTGTGTCCCTTAGGATGACACTAATCCCATCTAATCCCTTTGCTCTGGGTTATTTTTTTGGAGAAGGTGAATCCAAGAGCTCCTCTCTGTGCCTTGTGTAGACGAACCTCGTGGGGAAACGAGCTTTGCTCGATGCTTTAATTTTTTTTTTGGTCTTTAAAGGAACTAATCACTGTGTCAAAGCTCACCCTTGTGTCTTAAAAGTGGCAAAGTTCAGCTGGTTTTGCACTGAGTGTTTCCAGGGAGGTGAAATTTCGGGGTCACTTTAATGCTGAAGGGGCAAATTGTAGCATCCTGGGGGGTGGTGGCAGCTTTTAGTGCCAGTGCAGGAGTGGTGCCTCCTGCATCACCCCCTTCCTCTGGCTGCTGCTTTGATATTCCTGCCTTCCCCTTTGGGGTTCTGGGAGAGCCTCATCTCCTGCTTGGAGCCTGCATTTGCCTGTGGAGAAGTCAGGATGTTGGTTGAGTTTTTTGGCCAGCTGAGCATCTCCTTGGAGAGGGGAGAGCATGGGAACCTCCTGAGCACCAATAATTGATAATTATCAACAAATAATTATTAATTAAATCCCGGGTTCTCTTGGAAGTTTGCTCTTCCTTGAGCTGGGAGGGGATTTAATAATCAAAACCCAGCTTTTCTTGGGGATTTGCTCTTCCTCGAGCTGGGGGTGGATAAAGGAGCACTTGGACATTTATCAGGCTCTCCCTGGATTTCTGGCTCTCCCATAAAACCAGCCCAGCTGGGGTAATAACTGCAGAGGTCTCTTCCCTCCAGCAGGAAACACTTCTTGATGCTGGATCCCCCTTCCCAAAGCCCCTCCTCTCTCCTAGTTTGCATTTGAAAGCCGAGCTTTGAGCCTGAAGTTTGATTTTTAGCCTGGTCTGTGAAACATGTTCTGCTGCTTCCTCTGCAAGAAACGCACATCACTCGTTATTTAAGGGGAGGAGGAGGAACTTTGCAGTTCTTCAGTTGTATTGTTTGGGGGTTTTTTTGGGGTTGGGAACAAAAAAAAAGTGTTCTCTTAAATGTGTATTTAAAACAATGCAGGAGTTCTTTTGTGAGATG